TAATCGAAAAAAAAAATATAATAACTGATGGCTCGTGGTAAATTCGAAGGATCATTGAGCCGATCGCTATTGATCATTTCTCGTTCTTTGAGAAATGATCAGGGATATTTTCTGTTTTTGTTTTACTTAACATTCTTTGTACTACTTTTCTTCGTCTTAGACTTTGTTCGCAGTCTATTATATAATTTATATCTATTGTTATTTAGCAGCAACATTGATGGATGATTAGGAAAAAGTTCTAAATATTATGAGAATCAAGACTATAAAAAAGAAGAAAATTTGTGATCAAAAAATCAATAATACGAAAATGAGAAGAAACCATAAAATTTGTCGACGGAACAGTTGAAAATAATGTAAAAATAATATGAAATCAGAACGGAATATATATTTAGATTTGATCTATGTATTTGTGTCAGGCAAAATTAAACTTAGTTTTTAAAATTTCAACCTCCTGCAGAAACTTTAAATTCACGTTATTACTGATTCATTGAGAGACACTAGCGATGTTTGAAAGATGTAGAGTTCACTAGCTTCCCCTATTGAAAATAGTCTATAGTTTTGGAAGATGTAGAGTTCACTAGTTTTGCTATTGAAAATAGTATATAGTTTTGTAAGATGTAGAGTTGGCTAGCTTTGTCTACTGAAAATAGAATATGTGTTGAGAAGATAGAAGTGTGACAATTTTTTTCTTTTCAGAAGGTAATTAGGTTGAGAAAGATATGAGATGTTGTGATTTTTATTGAAATCGAATGATGCTAATGTGAAATGTGGATACTATTGGGTGGTGTTGGTAACACTACAAGTGACAACATGATGTTTACTGCGCTTTGGTAATTTCATGAGTTGTGATTCTCTCGCAGTCGATGGCTTACATATTTCGCTTGTGTCTTCCTTATGATGGATAAAATGTGTTGATATGATTACATGTAAGTATATTGTATTATATCTAGTTACCTCTTTAAAACGTAAAGATTTATTTTAAATTCGGTCATAGAAATTGCTGATGGCAACGAGTGATAGGTTAATAGATAAATAGATATCAAAAACTTGTATGAGGTTATAGAGTAAATGAGTGCCGTTATGAAACATAAAAAGAATAATATAATATCTATAATTTTGTCTTTGTGGCAGTTTTTTCGCTGATCGATTATATTTCAATCGGAGTTTGAAAAAAGAGATAATCGTCAATCACTCGATAGTATATGTTAGTAACTAATATGAGTAAGTGTAATATATCAAGTTTTAAGGATTTACGCCACGGAAATTATTTTTTGTAAGTGTTCTCCGACCAAAAAAAAAATGAATGGAAAAGAAGAAGAAGTGAACAAAATGATAATAAAGTATGAAAGTGCAATGAGGAATCGTGTTGTTCGAGAATGGTTTTTGATTTTTTGTAGATAGGAATCATAAAGGCTAGGATCAATGTGTGTGTTCCCACTATCTTAATAGATCCTTGTTAACATTTCAGTTTTTGTTTAGAAAAAGAGGTAATTATGAAAAGTGTAATATCATTTTATGCTAGCAAAAGAAGATTAGTATAGAATATCTGAATTGAAATTTCTTATGATCAGAGTACTTTCTAGGTTTCTTGCAGAAGAAAAGTAGAAAAGAAAAGGGAACAGAAATAAAAAAAAGGAAAAGTCAAAAATATAAGATCGTAAATAATAATTATATGGCTTGAAATTAATTTCTGTTTCTATTGTTAAAGTTAATCATAGTAAGAGTAAAATATCATTTTTTTTGTTATAAATAATCTAATAAACTATTGGTCTCATATTGCTTTTTGTGAACACTAAAAGAGAGTAGATGATCAAACAAATTATATTGTATTATGTGAAGCGAATGAAACTGTTAGAAAGTACTGGCTTTTGCATTCCTATTGATTATTGAATTGTTTAGTGCTTTCTAGTCGCTCGAGGAAATTAAAAAAGGAGGGGAAACAAATGGAAGAGAAAAAACAATACAACAGAAAATTGGACTGGTAAACACATTGTTGGAGAATAGTTGTTTTTTTTTTTTTTACTAAAGATGGAAATAATAAAAATTAACATCACTTGTTCTTTGTTGTTGATATCGTCATATGTGACTTACATTTAGCACTTACTAAAGACAAAAATAAGATAGAATCATCAGACGATTGATTGAAGCGATCTCAATTAGTAAACATCTTCTGTTTACCATTGAATAGTCGATACTTGCTAACATTAAACCGATTTTTTCCATTAGTCAGACGTCAAAATAGCTTCATAAAACGGAAAGAAATATCTTATCAATTGACGATTTTTTTCGTGCATAGGTTTTTTTATTTGCCATTTTAAAGTCGAAAATGTGTCGCATCTATGATATCTAGAAAAACATTATCGATATGTTCATTAATCGAATTAGTCGATCAATCCGCAAATTTTTCTAAATGTAAATGATAATTAGGGTTATTTTTAAATTAAAAAACAAAGCTAAAATTTCGCCTTAGGCTTAGTTTTGTCTGTGACATACATATACAGTTCACTAGTCATTTTATTTTGAAATCATCTTTAGTTTTAGAAAATCTAAACTTCGCGATTTTTTTCTATTGAAATTATCTTTGTATTTAGTAACAGTAACGACTTTTAATATGTATCATGCAGATCAAATGACTTTAAGGGAGAATTTATATAATATATGATTGTGTTTCGTTGTAATATATGAATGACTGCAGTTTATTAAAGTTACGTAAACTCTCGAAATGCGAATTAGTTTTAGTTGCTGTTTATTTGTTTTCCGATCTTTTATTTTTTTTTATGGCTGATGGAATTTATTAAAATGACAGCCTATGAGTAAGTTTTAATATATAGTTTTTTTCGAAATGTCAAAATATAGTATCGATTCGTGAGTTAATCGTAAAGAGACAATATTGCATTAAGTAAAAACAAAAGGATTATATATAAAACTAATTCAACTAAGATGTATTCGTTTAATAGAATTGAATGATGCTGTGTTCATCTATATTAATTGTCAGATAATCTATTCAAAAAACAAAATATGTAGACTTGTTATGAATTTAAATTCATTTGAATTTACCATGATAATGGTTGACTTTGCCATTCCGAATTCGTATATTGTTATTCATGACTTGTCCTGGTACTTCGTAAATCTAGGTATGAAAATGATGGTGAAAATCAATTTAACAAAGTATTCTTTTCATGTTGGATTTACTTTATTATTCCAAATGGTAACGTTTATATCTCCTGTCTTGTCTTTTATTTTTAACGGTCTTCGACTAATGGATTTGCCTGTAGTTTGCGATGTTGTTGTTAAGACTCCTGAATCTGTGATAATTGTACCTTCAACATCTAATATAAGTAAAATCTTTTGATTAATTTATACTAGTTAAGATAAAAGAATGATATCAAATAAATAAAACGATGCTTATTACTAAATCTTTTTTATTTATTTATCTTTTTAAACAACAAATCATATAGAAAATGTGCAGTTTATTTTTGCCATTGATAGATGGCTATATATTCCCTTACCATTATTTTCTTAAATTGTATGGATACGATCGGAAGGATATAATTTTTTTCTTTCAATTATATTGATTACAAACTTTCATTTGAGTTTTTTTTCTTCATTTATTGCTTAATCTCTTCCTAATGAATGTTTTGTAAGGAAGATGTTCAAATCTTAATATTGCGATGCAAGATCTTATCAAGAATTTGAAAACATTGCATGTTCTTTTTTTTATTGTATCTGGTCTAACTGGATTTAAAATCTTTATCAGATGTGCGCTAAAACTTTAAAATGTCAGGTTCGGAAAAAAAAATAACAATTTGAATATCTTTCCTTTTATCAACAACTTAGTTCAAACAATAGCGACATCATCAATCTATTTTTTTTCTTAAACTCTTAATTCTTTTAAAATTTACTTGTGAAAGATTTTTAACTTAAATTTTCACTATATCGTGTTAAAAGAAGGTCTCAATAGTGAAGGCATGTATTATCCAATGCTATTTGAGATCCAACATGTGAAGAAAAACGAATAATCAAACATTATCTATGATTAATGTTTTCGTTTCAACTAGTTTACTATATTTGATTCAAAGATTTTCTCCGATTTTTGAACATGTACCCAGTATTGTATTAGTACTTTCGAAATAAGAATACCATAACGTTTGATGTTTAGAAACCAAATTATTTTTACCAAACAAAGCGACAAATTATTGGATGTCTTACTTTTCTTTATTTGTAGCGTTTTTGAATAAAAATAATTATGCGCTGAATACATGTTCTTGTAAGTAGTAATCACAGATTAGTTTTGGGGGAAATTTTATTATGAAGCTAATTTACTATTCTACTTCTAAGCCTTTCATGAAAGAGTACCATTTTGTCAATATCAATGATTTTAGTCGAAAAAAAAAAATTATTTTTCATGAGAACTATTTTAATAAATCGATTCTTTTTTTTTATTGTTTCTTTTTACTAGATTGATTTATTCAAATAATTAATCTACACAAATGAAGTATGTTTTGCATCTTTAAATCTTTTTATAATTTTTTTCTGCAAAGTTTCTTAGTAGAAGTTAGGTCTTTTTACTATTCAAATAAACATTCTTATTTTTTAATGAAATTTTAAAGAGAAGATATCGATTAAGATTTTAGAAACTTCAATTAACAGTGTTTGGAATATGATTATTTCTACTTAACAGCAGTGAATAGGATCAGAAAATGGAAGATATTTAATAGAAGATCTTCAATATTTGATATCAAAATCTTATGAATCTGTACCGAGCATCTTATATCAAAGGTTGGTCAAGCTAATAGTATTATCTTGAATTTAAATTTTCAAGATCTGATTACATTTCTGTATTAATATCTTGACCAAGGTGTTGCTTATCGGATCTTGGACTAGGCATAGAATATATTCCGAAATGATGTTCATTGGTTATATATCTTAGCATTAGACTATTAAAAAATATGTTTCGATTAATTTTCCATACCGACTTGTGAACCATGAAGCATATTATAAATATGATGAATTTCTTGGTTTTTTATTGATATGATAGGATTGAATGTAGCAGATTTGAATATGTTAATAATTGAACTAGGCAGTAATCGAATTTCATAGGTTGAAAATGGTGAAGAAAAATTATGATTAGCAATTCGTATATCTCCATTTTGAATAGTTATGGTCTGAAAAGAAGATTTTTTAAATATAGGTATTTGAGGTGATATTACTGCATTTGTTTTCATTATATCGTTAAAACGATCGGCTTCTTCATTAAAAGCAACAATTTTTATTTCTCCACTTATATCGCAGACAATCGCATCAAAAACTTTGCCGTTTGAACCATAATACTTAGGGCATGCCAAAAGTAGTGAGGGAGGTACTTTTTTCCTTAAGCAGGGGTATAAAAATATTTCGTTTTTTACCAATAGATAGAACGCGTTTCACTCTATTTTTCTATGCTATTTTGTCACTATTAAACTGTTATCATTATTATAAAATTTCGATAAAATCTGTTTTTGTCGCATATACGCTGGTAGCATGAACATGAATGCTTGTGAGTATTTTTGGAATAACTTTTCATAGAAACAAGATAGAGAACTGCGGTTTTCGCCATTGGGAAGAGGAGATGAAGACGCATCGAGCTATTTATTACTGATTTTTCTAACCTGCTTTTTGTAAGGTTTTAGCTCATCTTCTAAAGAGCAATTCTATTCCATGAGTTGTTTACAGTGAATTTTCAATAATTGTGTTCACATTGAAACCGCTAATCGAAGATCTACAGACTGCGAAAGACTCAGCTGTTTAAATTTAATTATTTATGGATAATACCTATTCTAGACGAACCTCTATGAAGATATTCTTGAAAATTTTTTCCTTTTTCTTTTTTTCATAAAACAAGCGTTTTTCTGACGATTAGAAAATTGAATAAAAAAAACCGTCAGAAATCATGTTAGAAAAATCGATAATATGTGGTTCGATGCGTCTTCATCTCCTCTTTCCGATGGCAAAAGCCGCAGTTCTCTATCTTGTTTCTATCAAAAGTTATTCCAAAAATACACACGAGCATTCATGCTACCAGCACATATGCGACAGAAACAGATCCTATCGAAATTTTATTATTATGATAACAGTTTAATAGTGACCAAATAGCATAGAAAAATAGAGTGAAACACGCTCTATCTATTGGTAAAAAAAGAAATTATTTTATATCCCTCTTTAAGGAAAAAAAGTACCTCCCTCACTACTTTTGGTATGCCCTAAGTATCTTATTGAACTTTTATAAATTACTTTACAGCGTATGATAAAGCTACAAAAAGAACTAATAAAATAGCAATTTATTTTTCTTAGCAGTACCTTTATAAGTAATCGTTGCATTTCTTTCTTAATATAGAAAAGCAAGAGCTAATCATTAAGCAGTTAATATTATATAACGTTAACTAAATCAAAATCTTATACAATATTGACTTTTTCAATTTTGTTTATCATCTGAATGACGTACAGACTTACGTTCCAGCGAAAGAAAATAAACGAAAACAACACAAAAAAAAACCTCTAAGGAAAAGTATAAAAAACATCATTAATAGTCATACAGTTTCAAACTACTTAATTTCTTTTTTTTATTAAAGAAAGTGATGATAAAAGATAGATATCAATTTTTTGTTGGTTTTTTTTTACTTTTATAGTTCTAAAGTTATATTTGATTTCCATTATAAAAAGAAAAGAAATAATCATCAAACAGTTGATGGAATGTTATATTAATTAAATCAATTTAATATAAAATATTCGCTCTTTAAATTTCCTTACCATAGAAATAATTTAGTACACTGTGCACGAATGAAAAGGACAGGACGAAGAGAAAAAAACACCTAAGCATTTTGATATGATCTGAGCTGAGAATAGTTCTTTTTTTAAATACACATAATAACAATAAAAGTTACATATCAATCGTTCTTTTCATACCGATATCTTTATACATCACCACTTAAATTTCATCCGTATTATAAAAACACAAGAGATAATCATCGAAATGCCGATACCGCATCATATTAACTAAATCAGATTAATATAAAATATTGGTTTTTTAATTTTATTTACCATCACAATAATTTTCGGCTCCATGCCCGACCAAAAACAAAAAAAAAGGAGGAAAAAAAAATTATATCAGTCTAATTATTCAGTATAAGATTTGACAATACGTTTTTAATAAAGATGTTAGAAATAATAGATAAATATTATATTTTTTGTTTCGTACATATAGTCTCACATATCATCAGCTATAGTTATTTATCACTATAAAAAAAAAGAAGATAATTGTCAAACATAACATTTGAAAATAAGTTTTATTAAAGATAACAAAAATAATAGCTAAGTACTATTTTTCTTTCATGAAAGTAGCCTCATAAATCTTCAGTTTCATTTTATTCCTCATTATAAAAAAATAATCATCAAACACAAGATTTAAGAATAGGCTTTTTATTAGATATAATAAAATAAATAGTTAAATGTTAATTTTCTTTTTTTTTTTATGGGAAAAGCCTCATAAATTATCAATTTCATTTGATTTTTCATAATAAAAAAACTAATTATGAAACATAAAATTCGCGAATAATTTTTTTTTCATTAAAGATAATAAAAATAATGGTCCAATACTAATTTTTTTTTTCGTAAGAGTAGCCTCATAAATCGTCAATTTCATTTTGTTTCTTATGATAAAAAAATAAGCATGAAACATGAGATTTGAGAAGACATGTGCTATTACAGGAAATAAAAATAATAGTTAACTATTTATTTTCCTTCTCAAGACCAGCTTCATAAATCATCAGTTTCATGTTATTGTTCATTATAAGAAAATCATCGAACATAAGATTCAGGAATAGACTTTTTATTAGAGGTAATAAAATAAATCGTTAAGTGTTAATTTTTTTTTTATGGGAAAGTCTCACAAATCATCAGTTTTATTTGATTTCTCATTATAAAAAAAAAA